TCCCAGACATCACAGACACACGTGGCCAGATTTCCCCACCTGGCTCTCTCTTGGGTACCTATAGACATGCGGAACTACTTTAGATTAAGGTCTATTTTAATGGAGAAAGAGGTGCATTTAATCCAGAGTGGGAAGAAGATGAAATTAGAGTTGTCCTGGGTACACCTGACAGATATCTGGACAGCTGCAAGGCGGCCAAGCGGGCTCTTAGGAGAATACATTTGTCCTCAGGTTGGACCCAGGACACCTGGGTGGAAGTGAGCATAGGGAGCCTGCCCATCGCTGGCCCTGAGAAATTTGGGCTTTAACCACCAGCATGCTGCCGTTCACTGGCTCTGACACACGAGCCCATGGGAGAGCTGCCTCAGAATCACCCGAGTGACTTATATACGTACAGGTTTCCATGCTCTGCTCAGAACCCAACTAGTCACATCTCTGGGGCTGGGGAGCTAGAAATTTTAAAAAACTCCTTGGGTGATCTGCAGTGCAGCCAGGTTTGGGACTGTTTGGTCAACCTGCTTGAAATCTGTCAGGTAGTTACGGGGATGTGTGAGTTGCATGCTGTTGGCCTGACGTATTTCTCCCAGCTGCCTACCGCAGCCCCAAAGTCCCTACCTTTGGTGATTAGTTCTTTGGGGTGTAGGCAGCACCATCTCCAGTGTTCCCTACTTATATGTAGACCTTCTCCCAAAGATTGCTGTGTTTAGGTGGGTTCTGGAAGTGACATCTTAGCAGGTGTATTATATTCTTGCTCCACCCTGAGTCATGAGGAAGGGCAGAAAGGATGGGGACAAGGATGGGGAGAGCTTTTGGAAGGATATGAAAGTGGGGGGCCGGTAGCAAGAACTTAAGGACCCCAGGTCTCCTAGACAAGCAAGAGAACAGGATGATATTGATTTCTACTGACCTGACTCTCAAGGCAAGGAGTCAGCCAAGATGTGTCTGCAGATTTTGAAAAATGTTGGCATCACTATCCGTGGTGCTGAATGCTAACGATGTAGAGGCGGGACCCAGGGGACCTGTCAGCCATCACTGCTGTTTCCTGTTTGTAACTGAGACCCCGCTCATGACCTTCCTGTTTCCAGTCTGGCTCCCTTTTCTACACTCCTTCCAGAGTAATCGTTCCAAAAGGCTTTAGAAAAAGTTATAGAAACACTTTTCATTGTGACATAGAACACATTCATCAAATGCACAAAACATAAGTATATAGAGATTAACAAGAAATTAGAGAGCGAGCACCCTTGTAACTGCCACCCAGAGCAAGGACTACAACCTGCATGCCCCCTGCCAAACCTCTCTCTTCCTCCGCACAGAGGACCCCGATCCTGGAGGCATAAAGAGGAATTTCGTTGCTGTGATTTAGAATTGTATCACCTATGTGTGCATCCCCCAACACAACCATTTAATTTGGGCTGATTTTGAAGTTATATAAATGAAGCCATGTAATATCTTTTGATATCTATCTTCTTTTACCGTGTGTTGTTAAAGATATCTTGCATGTCGTGGCAAGTAGCTGTGTTGTTTTTTTCATTTTTGTTGGTGTAAAGTAGTCCACTGTATGAAATATACCATAATCTGTTTATCTATTCTACAGTTGGTGGGCATTCGTTTTGCCTCTAGTTGGGGGTCTTATAACCAATGCTGTTATGAATATTCTTTCACACATCTACACACAATTGTACTCTTCTTCTGTAGTATGCACATTCAGGAACAGAATTTCAAGGTCAGGTGGTATACGTAGCCTTAATTTTACTAGTTAAAAGACCATAATCTTCCAGAATCGTGTTACTAATTATTTACCCACTATAACAGAATGAGAATTTCTGATGAGCTACATCCTCATTATCAATTGATATTGTTAACACTAATCATTTTTGGCAATCTAGTGGGTGCAAATTAGTATCTTATTGTGGTTTAATCTACTTTTCCCTGACTTTTAATGAGATTAAACACCTTTTCATATGTCTATTGGCCATTTGGATAACCTCTTTTCTGATCTAAAGTTTTGCCCACGTTTCTATTTGTCTGCTATTGTGGTTTCTTATTGATTTGCTTGAGTTTCTAGATATTCTAAATACTGAATCTTGGACAATTATATGAGCTGCAAATGTTTTCCATTCTATAGCTTAGTTACCAGCAGCTCTGTGGCTCACCTGCTATGATCCTACATGAGTAGAATGACTTTATTTCCTGCCGTGCTTCCTCAGCAGACACGGGTGTGTGGTCCCTCCACACTGTGGATGTGGAAGGAGGAGGCAAAGCCATTCTCTATGTGTGGACAGAGTTGCCTGACTCAAGTGAGGAAGGCAGTTTAAACTGCAAGTTCGTTCCGTTTAAAAGGGTTACCTTTTCCAGCCCTCATGATTAATCACAAGTTAAAGCCATTAAAAAGGTGGGGGAAAATAGGTGAAGATGTTGCTTGGTGAGATTAAACTTAAATTATGCTTTCCACAAGCCCCAAAAGCAGAGAAGTTGTAACCATTCATCTTTAACTTAGTCCAGTAGAGTGGAAACACTTCTTTTCTACCGGGTGGCTGTGCCTGAGGCCACGTGTTAATGTAACGGAGATTTCTCCCTTATCTTGGTGTGGGAAGTAAGCCTCTTTATTTTACACGCTCTGACCCGGACACCACTTGGTCCCCAAGGCTACAAATAGTGACATAGCAGCATAAGCTTCCCATGGTTTCCATGTCTCTCTGATGTCATAGTGATGATAGATGATAGGCAGTTACATGTTCCAAAGGGCAAATGAGTCAGGGCCGAGTCATCCAGTCACTGAGGCCCCCGGGAAAGAATTCCAGAAGCTCTCGCAGGATATGATGTAACTCACTGTAACTCATTTCAGTCTCAGAACCCGTGTCTGTAAAGGACACACTCCACCCTCTGCTCCAGCCTTATTCTGTTCTCATCTTGTTACCGGAAAGGGGGCTGGCCCTGCGCGGTCTGCCTGGGGCGGCCGATAGTGTGTGGGCTCTTGCTTTCGTGCGGGAAAGATTTCACAATGCGAGTCCAAGTGATTTTGAGAGCACGTTTATTAAAGCGGGGCCAGGGAAACAAGGACGGGCCTCGGGTAGAAGAAGCAACAGGAGAGCGTAGGCGGGGCTGCGTAGCTCCCTGGAGAGTCAGAGGAAAGGGGGCCTTGGAGACAGGTTCAGGGGCTTTGCCGGGGATGAGCTGCTGCTGCCCACGGCTCCCTGGTTGCACGTCTTGTGGGGTCCCTTAGAGTTTAGGAGATGCACCCCTGTGGGGGAAGGAGAGCGAAGGGAAAGGGGTGGGCATGCTCCCAGGAGGGAGTGTGTGAGCTGGGTCCTTGAGTGTTTTAAAGTCTGGGGGTTCAGGGAGGTCTTAGGGGAGGATGGGTTTTGGTCTCTAGTGATTGGTCGGCACCAGGGGGTCATTAGTCATTGCAGCTGGTCCTGGGGTCCCCCGCCTGGTTTTCCTGCTTTTCTGGGCCTGGAACTGAAAAACACCTGGGGCCTAGATGCTGTCTCTAAGGAGGAAAGGTCTGGGGGTCTACATTTCATCACTAGTGATATGGAAGGTCAGGGGTCTAACCCACATGGCCAGGGACATGCCAGGGGAGGAAAGGCCACCTGGGGGCGAGGCCTGGCACCAGATTTATCCGTGGTTAGACACCCGGGGCTGTCCACCCTGGTGGCCTTCTGCATCTGCTGTACATTCCTTGGCCAGTTTGCTCAGCTGTCTGCCTCAGTTTTCCCATCCCACTTGCCAAGGAATCTCCCCAGTTTCTTACTAGCCTGCCTCCGTCTGACCGATGAGACTGTTGATGCCCAGAAACATTCGGTGATGGATGTGTGTGAAGTCGTAAAGACTGGCCATGACCAGGTTCTCGTCACGTTTAAATCATGCTTCGCCCAGCTCAGCAAATCCACGGACGTGAGGATTCCAGGGTCCACCCCGACATGAAGCAGGCTTCATTGGAACGGCAGCTTATTCCGCACCACCCGCACCATGGTCTGCCTGAGCTGCAGTCTTCAGGGGGAGATGGGAGAGGCAGCAGGACAACCACAGTGTCACGTTCAGGGCCTCCAAAGAGCACAAAGCCCTGCCCACACCCTTTCACTTTCAGAACCTACTGGTGGAGGAGGTAGGCAGACCCGGGCTTGACGGAAATGAAAACTGTCAGGAAACCCCAGGCCTCCTGTTTCGCTCTGTTAATTGGCGCCCATGCAGGCAGCTAGTTTAGCAGCGATTCCGCGGGTCTTCTGGGGCTCATCCTGATTGAAAGTGAAATGTTGAAAAGTACTTCTCGGCCTCTCCAAGCTTCCTGGGCTGCTCACACTGAGGTCAGTGGAGAGGGAGGCGGCCTTCACGATTCTATATTAGATGAGTTATTCAGGCTCTCAGATTCAGAAAATAATTCTCAGGAAGATAGTGATGGAGGAATCTGATTTCCTCCTAAAGAGAGATTTTCCTTGAGGCCACATGGAACTGAGAAGAGAAATGTATGGAAAAAATGCCACTGTGACCTTAAACACGCCATCTCGGGGTGCACCCCATAATGAGGAATGGAGTGCTATTAACATATACCGCACATGTTAATGACTCCACCGGCAGAAGGAAAAAAAAAAAAAGTAAAAAAGTTGAGCCCAGAGTCATTCTGGGAAGGAGGATTCTGCCAAGGAGATTTTAATGTCAAGAATGTATGAGAGGCTAAAAATAAGAGGCTCACGCGCATCCCAGAGCTGTGGGCGGGGATGTATATATAATCAAATTAAATCCTTCCTTTTCCACTTATGGAAAAATCCAATGGTAAAAATCGACTAGAAAACATTTAGTCATATTTCACTTGGATGATGCTTATAAATACCAATCTCCAGACTTGTCAAAATAAAACCACCAGCGCTTCCTGGCCGAGGTGCTAGGTAGACAATAGCAGCCAGCGACATGCAGAAACGATGAAGAGCTTGCAGACACATTGCGCCTGGAAAAGCCGCAGGAATCGGCCCAGGCTCCATGCACATGCCCGGGGGGTGACGGGGACCCAGGAGAGCTGGTGGGGCCCCGCCCTACCGCCGCCCCGGGGTCTAGATGAATTCTGGCTTGGACACAGCCTGCATTTCGTGCCTCTCAACCCTCTCCCGACAGGTGGTTCTGGAATCCCGTGATCTCTGCTCCCTAGAGAAAGGATAAAGCAGAAAGGTAAAATAATTGGACTTAATGGACAGGGGAGTGGGGACTTTAAGAGAGAATAGCTATGAAGAATGTATCAGGGATCAGGCATTGTGCTAAGCATGTTCCCTGTCATACCCCTGCTCTTCCTTCCCCACCAATCACAGCCCTCCTTCCCTCAGGTCAACACCAGAGCCCATGAGCAGACATCACTGGCTAAGAGGTAGGCACTGTTGTTAGCCCCATTTTACAGGTGAGCAAGCTGAGGTTTATGGACGTTACATAACTCGTCCAAGGTCACAGGTAGCTATGAATCCACAATGGTAGGATTTGAACCTCAGCCACTGGGATCCAACCCAGCCTTAAAGCATCCAGTTATTCTATTTCCTAAGAATGTCCCCTCCTATTCCCTGTAGTTTGTGCAGGAAAACAGCTGAAAAACAGCAAAATGAATGGAGTTGTGGGAGCTCTGCTACTAGTCACTCCGCTAAGCTCAGCAATGCCACTTGACTGGGCAGGCCTTTGTGTGCTTATCTGAGAAGTGGTCGTCACGCTCCGTGTCCTTCCGTGTCGGGGGCGCTTCCTGTGGACATGCTTGGCACAAGGAAGGGTCGACTCCGTGTGACCCGGGGCAGGTTCACTATAGAGGGTTTGTGGTCTAAGACAAAGAGCACGGGCCATGGCCCGGGCCTGCATTTCACTCTGTCTCACTAGTGAAGTGGCCGGGCACCCCTTACCGGAGGGGGAAGCAGATGGAGCTGCTGAAGGTGAAGTAGACCAGGGGGTTGATGGCGCTGTTCAAGGCAGGCAGGTTCTGGATGATCACAGACGCGTAGAAGCGCTGCTCGGTGTCAGGAAGGAGGCTGAAGTTGTCCAGCATGTCGAAGAGGAAGTATGGGCTCCAGCAGCAGATGAAGGCTGGGGAGGAGCGAGCCGTTAGCACCCCTCGAGGCCCCAGCCCAGGAGACAATCCTTAGCTCCTGGGGTCTCTCAGAAACATGCAAAACCGTTGTGTGCGTGAACCTTAATGTCATGTTCCCTTCAACACACACACACACACACACACACACACACACATACACACATACACACACTCTCTCACACACACACGCACACACATGCACACTCTCTCACACACATACACACATACATGCATACACACGTGTACACTCACACACATGCATGCACACACTCTTTCACACTCACACACACATGCACACACACGTACACACACACACTCTTTCTCTCTCTCTCTCTCTCTCTCTCTCTCTCACACACACACACATACACACACACCCCCCGCAGATATGCCTGGAGCTTCTCTTTCTGTAAAGAGCATCTGGTTGGACCGCTGTCGGGACTCCTTACTGAAAGCCTGGGAACTCTGGGCATGGAGGGGTGAGGTTGCCTTCCAGAGCCCTTTGCCCATGTGTGTGCTGTCGTGTGTAAGGGGGTGGGTGTTGGGTGTCTGGTTCTGGCTTCCCAGGGATGCCAACCCTGCTGCCTGGAGCAGGGCAGGCCCACCATGTCCCTTACATCCTTTGAGTACCCAGCTGGACCCTCACATAGCAGAGAACCCTGCTTATAATCAGCCCAGTGGAGAAACCTATCTTTTGACCTACCTACAGGGCAGGACAAACCTCCATTTCCTGAAGGTCTGCTCTTTCCATCCTGCAATGACCTTTGGAAGCCCCAGGGCACCTGGCTTCATCCCTAGCTCAGGATGTCTGACACACACGTGTCCCCTTTCTGTCTCAGAACCTCTCTGCAAGCAGCGTCTGTCTTACATATGCGGGAGTCCCTTACATATGTATGTGTTAAATTTGGTTCTTGTCTCTTGCTAATCTTCTCATATCTATTTGTCTATGGGACCAGCCAGAAGAACCTTGAGGGTAGAGGAAAGTTTGTTCCTCCCCCACAAGGACACCAGGGGGAAAAATTACTTTGCAGGGGGTAGGAGAGCACCAAGTTTGTTCCTCCCCCATAAGGACAGCAGGGGGAAAAATTACTTTGCAGGGGGTAGGAGAGCACGCCAAGACTTCCCGCTTGCCATGTTGCCTATGATAAGCTTATTAGAAATACAAATAGAACGCTGAAGTAGAAATAATAGATATAACTTCCAGGCAAAGGAAGTGGAGGAGAAACTAATCAAATGTTGCTTAGCAGTCAAGTAAGATGAAGATTGACAGCGGACATTGGCATTTGGAGTTTGTGGTGACCTTGATAAGGGTGGTTTTCCTGGAGAAATAGAAAAGAAAGCGAACAGAAATATTCTCCGGGGAATGAGAGGTAAAGAGTGGAGAAGTGGTGCTGGCAGGAGCGTGGTGAAGTGGGGCTGTTCCTACAGAGGCCATCCAGGCAGCTATCATTGTATGTTTATGTGCCTGCGACCCAGTGGAGGGAAGTGTGTGGGGAGGAGGAGATAATGGGAGACACATTCTTGAGTGGGCAGGAAGGAGCGGGCTGCAGGCTCAAGAGGACGTGTTGGGCACGGCAGGAAGCAGTGCCAGTTTATCCACAGCAATGGAGAGAAGGCAGAGGCACATGGTAGAGGTTCTTCCCCCAGTGCATGCGAGGGCAGGGGAGGGAGGAAGTTCCATTCCGCTTGGTAGTATTTCTCAGTGAAATAGGAATCAAGGTCATTAGCAGAGAGGGCCTCAGGAAGAGGACGTTTTGAAGGTTTGGGGATCACAAAGAGCACAGACCAATCTGACACAGATTAGGTGCTCCAGAAATACCCCCTTTTTTTCCTGAGGTGAGGTGGTTTTATGGGTCTTCAGAGTAGAGGACGAGGGAAAGAAGAGGGAAGAAGACAGGAGAGTGAGAGAGAAGATGCGCATCCGTTAGGGAGGACTTTATAGTGACCTTGAAATTAATCATCCAGAAGAAACCAACTGCCTCATCTGTCTTCCTCTTGCTCATCAACCTCAGCCTGGGGGCGAGTATGCATTCAAGAAAGCAACTGGGTCAGGTGGGTGCTGGTGAGTGTCCGCTTCAGCTAGCGGTCAGATTTTCTCCAAACTGTGCACCCCAGGGCCTCGGTGCACAGCTAGATTAATGAAGAGAGAGGTCAGGAACCTGAGGTCCTCCTTTGGAGGAGCTACAGGTAGACTGATCAGTTTCACACATTCCTCGCCCAACCAGACAGAGGTGGGCGTGTCTGCAGACAAACCCTTCTCTCCCGTGGACTCGCCACCACCGCGTCCCAGGTACCAGCTTGCTCTTGGAAAGTCCACGCAGAGCTGCAGCACAATCAGGAACGTTGCTTACCAAGAATGATGACCATGCTGTACTTGATGGCCTTGATTTTTGCCTTTGAGAAGAGCCCTCGGTTGTACCTGGTGCACAGCTTTCCATCTGCAGATTCAAAGAGGGAGTGGTCAAATGAAGTGCTGTTCCTGCCAATAGGAACATGGCCAGTTAGTCCCACCGCTGTCACTGGGCCACGGTTATCCTGCTCTCCCATACCCAGGGGGACCTCTTGGACATTTTTAGAGTAGAGATGGCTCTGGGCTGGATGTTGGAAACGGCTCAGTTTGCAGCTTACCATAAGATACAAACGTACTCGGACATCCAGGCTCTCTCAGGAGGCTTGGCTGGAGGCCTGGAGTCAGCTGAAGAACCTGGAATGAGCGATGTGACCACAAGGGGCGATGCTGAGACACCCATCATCTGATTGCCTTGGCAATCCAGGGCAAAGCCATTTTCTTAGAATGGATACCCCAGGCGAACTCATTCATCTAACTCAGAAACTCCACTCTCAACAAAGGCTCAAACCAGGGATATTAAAAAACAAAAACAAAACAACCCTGAAGGGTATGAGAATCCACTGGAATGTCAGCTTGATGGAGACAGGAACTTCGTATTTTCCACTCCTATGTCCTCGGAACTTAGTGAGTGATTAGTATTTGTTGACAAATTAATATAAGCCTCTCTCTCTCGTTGAGCAGTGGTAAAATAAAGGCTGGTGATGGGCAGAATGCAGCACAATAGCTCTTAGCTGGCAAATTTGGGGATGGAGATGTTGGATAGAAGGTCTCTGGATGTTGTGGAAGAGCTTTTACTGTGGGGCTCCAGTCAGCCCACATGCACCTTTGTGAGAATTGGGAAGGATGCCCTTCCTCTGGTCAGGGGTCCTCCCAGGGCACCTACATCATACGGGGCAGGGCAGTTGTCCCCTAGAGGCCAACCCCTGTCCTCACTACCTTGTTCAGCTTTATTTTCATCTCCTTGGGAGCTGGCACGGTTACCTTTGCACTGTTGATTCTGACCCCTCTCCAGTCCCATCCAGCCAAACCCAGAAAGCCTAGCACATCTGCTAAGGGACAAGAACGGAACAAAAAAGGCTAAAAGGCAGAGTTCTCAGTCTCCAGGAGCTTTCAGTCCAGCCTGAAGGATCGCACACACCCCACAGAGCTGGACATTGTGAGAGACCAGAACCAGGTCTGGATGAGAAGACAGCCACCCCCCATCAGGAACGACAGAAACAAGGGGCTTTATATGTGTGATGAGCTGAAATGCTAATTATAATGGATTTTTTATTTCTTGATGTGTACCCTGTGAGACCACTCTTAGGCCTTCAAGTCATTCTGTGCCTTTCACAGAACCAACCACATTTCAGTGGGATAAGCAGGCAAATACTTCACTAGCATTTACAGTGGTTTCCAATTGGGGCAACATCTGGACACATTTTTGGTTGTCACACGGGTGGGAGGTTACTCCTAGCACCTAGTGGGTCAGAGCCAGGGGTGCCGCTGAACACCCTTCAATGCACAGAACGCCTCCCCTCCCCACAGAGTTACCCAAACACTGTCGGCGCCAAGGCTGACAAACCCTGGTTGCTAAGGAGGCCTCTTGGGAAGATACAGGCTTCAGAGTCAGACCCCGGCTGTACCAATGACCAGCTGTGTAACCAGAGGCAAACTGCCTACTGCTCCCAGCCTCCATTTCCCAATTTTAAAAATGAGACGTGAAACACCAAATTCTCAGTTATGTTGAGGATTCAAGTAAAATAATGAAGTCAAGATGCCAAGCCCTATGCTGAGCATGTCAATTTTAATAGTATTTCAGGAGGACTGTGAGCTGCCTTTATGGAAGCGAGCAGAGGTATTACTGCATTTAGACAGTTTCTTATAGTGTTGTTACCTGTGTATAGGAAGTCTGTACATCCAAAAATTACCGGGGGGATTAGACCCACGGGAGGCCGGTCAAAAAGCCAGCAGACCCAATTGCCTCCTTTCCAAGTATCCTGTTTGCTGGGGAAGTGGCAGACTCCCAGGCAGACCGCGTTGGTTTTTCAGAAAAGTTCCCAGAATGACACTTGCGCTCTGAAATCTGCTTAAACTGGAAACGTGCCCTCATTTGCACAGAGCAGCTGGGCGACAGTGTCAGCAGCTACCTGCCCTTCACTCTCCCAGGGAGACCAGCGAGAAGCACCTTTAGTCCAGCCGCCCTGGGAAATGCAAAGCCTCCAGCGCCTAAGGCCGGCTCTTCAAACACCACCAGGCTACAAAGCGCAGTAATTCTCCTTTATTGGGAGATAAAAGGATTAATTCTACCAGCCCTGGCCCTGAACGGGAGTGAAAAGCAGTTACACTCAGCTGTCACTGTGCATTAATAGCTGGGGAAGGCTCAAGGCAGCAGGCTCATTAGATTCTGCAAACCGCCATAGGCTGTTTCAGCTCAAGCCTGAGTCCCTGGCGGGGCCCACGCTGGGAATTAGTCTCCAAGAGGCCAGTTCCTGCTCCTCACCTTCCCCACACGTCATGCCCCTTTGGAGCCACTGGGAATCCATTCCTGTGGGTTGAATACCGGAAGGGGGGAGGGGAGAGGAGAGGCCAGGGGCCCTTGTTCTCCTGGGATTTTAAAATGAGGCAGAATTTATTCGTGGCCGGGAGGGGGAGCTATCTGTGGACCTATAATGAGTGCAGGTGATTTGTTAACAAGGAATCTACCTAGTAATCTACCTAGTAATGTTTTAGAATAAATATTTTTCATATGTTAGGAAGTTTATATAGTTCAGGTTCATTTAAATAATTAAACATGTTAAGAAGGTATGTCTGATTTCTACACTTTTTAAAAGTTGAAATTTGTTTTTGATTTCTGACCACTGATGGCCTCTTTATCTACAAATATAACCCAATCCGCATGTTACGTATTTTTAGTGCATTATGTCTCACCTGCTTAACTGTGAAACTATGGCCACTTCTGAGGGTTTTTTCTTTTTCTTTTTTTGACCTTCTGGCAAACCAGAGGTCATGGTTAGCTAGGAGGAGGTATGACCTAGCTCACCTAACTCACAGCCTTTTCTGTTCCTCAGCTCCTTAGCTCAGACAGACCCAGGACCCCTGACAGGCCTGAAACCATTGTGGCAGAAACAAATTAGCTTTCACCAGATCCTTTTCCCCCGAGGCCCACAGCTAGACTACATTTCCCAGCCTCCCTTTCAGCAGGGTGTAGTCATGTGACTAAGTTCTGCCTATGGGAACATGGGAAGAATCCTTGTACACTAGAACCAGGCCTGGATCATATAAACCACCTCAGTGCATGCCCTGTGGGTGTTCTGAGTGAAGTTTTACTGAAAGGGAGTTGGGGGAGGTTACAGTGGCCATCTCAGGCTCAGTCTGCTGGGAGCTGGTGTGTTGGGACAGGGGGAAAGCATGGGCCCTATTCCACTGGCTTAGGGTCCAGGATTGTTCTGTGGAGCAAAGGCCGCTTTCTCAGTCTGTGAACTCAGCTCAATAAAAATGTCTGCTCTGGTGTTTGGTGAATGGATGGTGTTTTCTTGGACAGTCCTCTCTTTTCACCCCAGTGTCCTCCTCCTGACCAGGCCTGAGAGACTGGGATCACCCCAAATTCTGGCTCAAAGGCTGCTTAGCAGGTCCCTTGGCTGGTATAGCTTGGCCAGGCTCGCAGTCCCCCCTCTCCCTCCCCATTTCCAGGGAGGCCAGGTGGAGGAGGCAGGGCCTGCCTGGGACAGGGAAAAGAAGGGGGGACTTCGAAGGGGGTCTGATCTGCCCGCTGGGCCCTGGCACAACAGTGCAGGCTTGCTGTATCCAGAGCCCAAGCTCCTATTAGCTAGAGGAAAACCTCGGTGAGGCAAAGTTTGCCAAGAGTTGGGTACTTCAGATTAGAGCAGGGGTGGGCAAACTTTTTGACCGAGGGCCACAATGGGTTCTTAAACTGGACCGGAGGGCCGGAACAAAAGCATGGATGGAGTGTTTGTGTGAACTAATATAAATTCAAAGTAAACATCATTACATAAAAGGGTACGGTCTTTTTTTTTTTTTAGTTTTATTTATCCATTTCAAACGGGCCGTATCCAGCCCGCGGGCCGTAGTTTGCCCACGGCTGCATTAGAGGCTTACCTGAGCAGTTGGAAATCACCATCTCCTGGGCTTTGCTTTTAATCCAAATGGTTCGGATCACAACGGTGTAGATGACGCTATGGAAAGGAGAAAAGGTAATAAATGGCTGCTGGGTGCCCACCAGAAGGACACAGGAGGGTGGCTTCCACTTCCTGAGTGTGCAGTATGGAGGGAGGGGTGCTCTGTATTTGCTGATTATAGACTCAGAGCCGATTGCAGCTGAAAGGCACCAGAAAGATCAGCTGGACGCAGCTACTTTTTGAAGTGAGGAGGCTAAGGCTGGTGGCCTTAAATTTCTCTAAGATCACCCCAGTGGTTAGAGGTATAGTTGAAATTAGAATTCAGACACAGGGCTTAGGGTGAGAAAGATTTAGATTTGTAATCGGCTCTGCTGCTTGCTGGTTGTATGACCTGGACGTTAGTCTTTACTATGGCCCCATGGTTCCTGCCTCCAGTGTTCAGGCCTCTGTGTGATCCTCTCCATTGGGTGTGACGGGACCTGTGACTTGCTTCTAATCGATGCATGGGATGAAGGTGATGGGATGAAGATGATGGGATAAAGGTGATGGGATGCTCATGGTTACATGGGAGTGTAGCATCTGTCTTGCTAGTATCTGCCTCCATTGCTGGCTTTGAAGAATCATCCTGGGGCTGCAGAATCGTGAGTCCTCCAACCCCAGGGAATTAGTTCTGCCAAGAACTTGTGAGAGGTGGGGAAAGACCCTTCTCTGATGGGCAGCCCAGCCCTGGCTGACAACTTGGTGGATGCCTTGCCTCAGCAGATGACCCAGATAAGCCATGAACAGACTCCTAACTCACAGGAACTATGAGATAATAAAGTGTGTTGTTTTAAGTCATCACGTTTATGATCATTTGTTATCAATCAACAGATAACATAGCAATTAGAGTAAGATAGCCTGAATGTATATGTCCCTCCAAAACTCAAATGTGGACATGTTAATGCCCGATGTGATGGTATCTGAAGACGGGGTCTTTGGGAGATGCTTAGGTCATGAGGGTGGAGCCCTCATGAATGAGATTAGTGCCCTTCTAGGAAGAGACCCTCGCCATTCCACCACGTGCAGACAGAGGAGAGAAGTCTGCAGCCTGGAAGAGGAACCTCACTGAACTCCGCTGGTACCCGACCTCAGACTCGCAGCCTCCAGGACTGTGAGGAATGCATTTCTGTTGTGTACAGTCTGTGGTATTTTGTTGTAGCCCAAACAAACAAAGACAGTGAGCCCCGGTTGAAACTGGAAAATGGAGTTAACAATACAAACCTCTTCGGAGATTTCTGGGATCAAATGTGACAACATTTAAAGGACCAGCCACAGTGCTGGAAAATTAGCCAAGGCTCAATAAATGTCATTTTCTGTCCTTCTCTCTTCCCCACTTTTCACATAATATCACAGCTCCTCTTATGCGATATAATATGTGCCTAACAGGAAATCAACATGTTAATGACTCAAAAGCAGCGGCAAAATTTCTGTCCCATGTCCCTTTTGGTAAATATAACAATCAATAGCCTTCTTTCATGTCATTTGACATTTCCAATATATGAAGTATCTCCATTGAAAACTTGGGGGGAAAGCACTGCTTTATTTTAAAACCCCACCAGCTTCCCTCTTGAGAACCACTGGGTAAGAGAGAAATCGGAGCTCTAGTCTACAGCGGCTGAGAAGGCACTAATTGCTTTTAATGATCTTTAGAATATAACTTAATTAATGACTTGTTAAAATGCTCTGCTTCTTAATGCTTCTGCTGTCTTGTTCAGCCGACCCCTCTGAGCGCTCTAAGAAAGCTAGAGGCCTTTTTGGAGCATCCCCCCTTCTCCTCCGATAGCTGCCCAGGGATTTTTCTGGAATTTGCATGTCTACATTAAAGAAACAAATGAGAACAAAAATTACTAGTGAGTCTATTCTTTACTCTAACTCGAACATTTGTTAGAGCAGGGAAACTTTTCCCCAAGGAAATGAAATCCAAGGAAATATACAGCCACAGGAGGTGCTGTATATTATAATTGCAAGTCTGGTACTTAATTGATCACTAATTCAAATATTTATTAACAATTGAGCAATAATTCAAATATTTATTGACCACCAACCACATACACGGTGGGAGTGAATAAAGGTCTTACGTGTTAGGGGTGTGGGCCTAAGTCACCCCCACCTCATCTCTTTTTTTAAATATATTTTTATTGATTTTTTACAGAGAGGAAGGGAGAGGGACAGAGAGCTAGAAACACCAATGAGAGAGGGACATTGATCAGCTGCCTCCTGCACACCCCCCACTGGGGATGTGTCCGCAACCAAGGTACATGCCCTTGACCGGAACTGAACCTGGGACCCTTCAGTCCACAGGCCGATGCTCTATCCACTGAGCAAAACCAATCAGGGCTCATCTTTGTTTTTTCAAAATATATTTTTATTGATTTCAGAGAAGAAGGGAGAAGGGGAGAGAAAATAAAACATCAATGATGTTAGAGAATCATCTATCAGCTACCTCCTACACACTCCACACTGGGGAATGAGCCTGCAACCTGGGCCTGTGCCCTGACCAGGAATTGAACCGTGACCTCCTGGTTCATAGGTTGATGCTCAACCACTGAGCCATGCTAACCAGACCCCACCTCATCTCTAAAGGACCAGTGGGGCAAGTAGAAAACCAGCACCAGCTTTACTGTTAGCCGGGAAAATGCCTAGTAAGGAGGGCACCCCTTTAATTTATTACCCAAATCAGGCCACTTCTCGGGGTGTAACAGTCACGCATCAGAGAGACCTCAGAATGATCTCTGTCTCCTCTTTCTTCCTCATTTCTTTCTTTGAAGTCATCAGCAAGTTGTGTGGTTTGTCCCTGCAAAGTGTCCCCATTACCTGCCCTGCCTCGCCATCCCCGCTCTTCAGAACCCTTACCATCTCTGTTTATGTGTGTTGGTGGTTTTTCACTGTGATCAAATACACAGAACATAGCATGTATCATTTTTACCATTTTTAGGTGTGCAGTTCAGTGGCATTAAGTACATTTACATTGCTGTGCAACCGTCACCACCGTCCATTTCCAGAACATTTTCATCTTCTCAAACGGCAGCTCTGTCTCCATTAACCACAAAAACATGGAAAGCTTCATGAATTGATGTGCTATTCTTACCCAGAGGTCACACTATCTGCCCGGCATCACTCCAATCTTAGTGTGCTTGCTGCCGAGGTGAGCACCCCTTCTAGTCTCCTGCTGATTATTGTCTCAGTCTTCTAAGATCTCCACTCTGCTACCATGTCGGATGCTCATCCCACCATGGGAGCTGGTGCTCCCGGGCAGAGAACCGTCCCCTGGCTCCAAAGCCCTCCAGCGCCCCCTCTTTCCTACAAGATGATACCCAGTGTCTTACGTGGAGCACCCGAAGCCTCCCTTCGTCTTCCTCAGCCTTCCTCACCTTGATCATTACCATCCTCCACATAAGCATAAGTGACACACATAGTCTATAATACAGCAATAAATATTATATAATACATTGTATATGAGTATGAAGGAGCAAAATGCTGTGAAGATATAACGTAGGGCAGTGATGGCGAACCTTTTGAGCTCGGCATGTCAGCATTTTGAAAAACCCTAACTTAACTCTGGTGCTGTGACATATATAGAAATTTTTTGATATTTGCAACCATAGTAAAACAAAGACTTATATTTTTGATATTTATTTTATATATTTAAATGCCATTTAACAAAGAAAAATCAACCAAAAAAAATGAGTTCGC